GTGTGTGTGTGTGTGTGTGTGTGTGTGCGTTCATGACCGTGTGTACCTAGAGAATGATTGAATTACTCAGGGTTAATTAGATTCTGTAGTCCACAGCAATGGTTCAGATACACACATACGCACACTCACTCACAGGGACATCCTTCAGAGGGGCTTTTTCAGGCTTATTGCCTGCGGCGTTGTCATCCGTGTATTAGTTGAGATATTTTCTGGGAAGCTGTGTGGTGCTAAGCAGAGTAGAAGACAGTCAGGAAGGATTTATTACACATTTCTGCTGCTTGTTCAGCCACTCTGGATCAAAATACTGCCGTTTGCGGCAGCTTGCTAAAGGTTAAAACTATGTACTTTATTGCTAGAGGAAGTGTGTCCAGATATTGTCGAAGCCATCATTGCACATCAGCTGAAATACTTGTGTTTCCACTTTGTGTATACCGCAAAATACTTTAGCTTATAAATAAAGAGGCTGAATGACATTTTAATGGCCACTGAAATATCGGGTGAGACGGTAAAGTGTTTTTGCTGCATCTAGCAGAAGGACACTAAAGCACGAGGCAGCTGTGCTGAGTGTTTGAGCAAATCAGTGCACTTTGCATTGATTGGCCGATCGGTCGGCCTCGCGCAATTTACTTCATGCCATTCAAGGGAGATGAGTATACAATTGTTCCCAGCAATTAAACTAAAAATGCTGTTTGGAAATTCAGCAATGTATTTACGGGTCCGCACAGGTTTACTAAGAAAAACTGCATGCTGTGTAATTGCATTTGCAACTGTGGTGCTGAATGGCGAGGATGTGAGTGCAAACAACTCAGCCGTTTTCCCATCCAATACGTCAATGTCATTTTACTTTGGGCTCCAGTATTGTGTGCCTCTTGCAGATCTGTAACATTTCAGCCAAGGAGTAAATAAAAAGTTAATAACTCCATGAAAACGCTGCACCAGTGATGCTGTGTCACACCACTGCTGAGCGGCCGGAACGTCACTATGTGAAATCGTTGTGCATGTATAATGGAGCTCCTCAGTGCAGACTCACCCATTTTCCACCTACGTCTAGCCCTAATATGTCCCACTGCTCTCTGTGTCAGCACTGGTCTGAGTCACATGAGCTTATGGTATCATTCCAGTTCATCTCCCAAAGAAACTCACTTTAAAACATTTTTTGTGGTCAAACTTTACATGAATGATAAGCTGAAGAATGTATTTAGATCTTTTTATGCGAGGAAAAAAAAGGACAGAATGAGTGTGAAGTGCTGCCCACGTCCCAGAGTGGTTCGTGCGGGCCTAGGGCTATTTTCCCAGTTTGAGAAACAATTAACCAGTCTGGGTTTAGTGTGCATTATTAAGATTGAGAATTTCAATTTAGTTAGTCTGCTACCTAGAAACATTTGGAAAGGCTGAGTATGATATGGCAAATTAAAAACAATGTCTCGCCACTTGCCAGCCATCTGAAGTTCTCCCGACACATCTTTTAACAGTTATTTCCGAGTGTTATCTTTAATTTCAGTGGTCACTGGGGGCACATGAGCTTGCCTGTCACAAAATGATAAAAACTGCATAAAAAGTTTGCTGACTTTGCTCCAAATTGAGAGCCGTATCTCTCTCTCTTTTAATGCTTCCGTTGGTACTCTCAGCTTAGGCGGTAGAGCAGGTGATCTAATAGTCGGATGGTCGTTCGATCGCTCGCTGCTATGTATGTGTAATGTGTGATAGTGATGTATGTCATCACTTTCACACTCAGATAGCAGCATCCTATCTCAATTCTGAATATAATCGTGGCAAGTTATTAATCTTGGCCTGACAGATCCGGTGGCCTTTGTCCTTTACCTGGACAAGAGACTCTTTTCTTTCTTTCTTCTTTAACATTAAGTCTTTTTTACCAGTTCAGTTTCTGTCTCTCTTATGGAATATAACATGCATCTTAGTTTTTCATCCCAGCATCTTTTCAGAAAGGTCTGGCTTCCACCTCAGGTGCTGTTGCTTCGCTTTCTTCAGTCTCTCTTGTAAAACATCTCTAGGCAAGCATATTTCCTTACGTGGAAAAATCAGGGGCCGTGGCGTTGTCTGGATTAAAAAAGAAGCGTGAAAAATGCATTTTCCACGATTTGATTTCAATTATTTTGCTTCCTTAACATCCACTAAGTGGTAAGAACAGTATTGCGCATGTGTCATGAATCCAACTGTAAGTTTGCAAGTGCACTTATTTCTTTGTATATGTGGCCCTTTAAAAGGATTCAGTTGTTTTCAGTTGCACTGTATGGCACGTTTATCTATTTAGGTCTGAGTCATTTTGCATCTACGTGGAGTTTAAAGCACACTGTGCACGCACGACTGTAAATGTATGTGTTGATGACGATATTAACATGGATCGGGTCTGATGTAACAGGAGTTAACATTCACATCAAACAGACTGTTAGATTATGGCTGTAGAGAATCCGTTGATAACTCAGACTGTGCGTGTGCTTGTCTGGGAGAGCAGTGTGTTTGCAGCTGAGTGGAGTAACTCAGCACAGAGGGAATCCTTTCTGATCTTGAATGCAGGGGGAAAAAAACAAACCCTACTTTCTGTAGTTGTCGTCACAACTCAACTACTTGCTGCCGCCATTTGTAAAAATGTGTTTTTCCAGTTTTTTCTCGCTCTGTTCTTTTCTTTGATGAAAAACATAAACCATATTTTGTTTAAATAAAAAGGTAAGGTTTGTTATCTCAAGCCCAATGGGTCTAACAACGTTACTGTGTGTCTCTTTGTGTGTAGAGTACAGTCGTTTCGAGGCAAAGATCCATGACCTGAGGGAACAGATGATGACCAGCAGTGTCAGCTCCAGCTCCACGTCTCTCCGCTCCACACAGAAGCGCACACTTTACGTCAGGTACAACACAACACACGCGCGCACACACACACACACAGGGCAGACAGAGGTGACTGATTATCCAGTGTTCATCAATGTGGCACAATCATTCGAGGACCTTATCTCAGCTGTCTACTGTGTGAGGTTATCACATCTGAAATCACAATTAGATGTGTGTGTGGCACAGGGTCACACTCACACATCCACCAGCCTGCCACCTCTGTGAGCGTCCTTCTGTCCTCGTGTCATTCTTGTCCTTGCCCGCCCGATTCCTGGGTTCCGTCTTTAGAGCCCAGAAGCGGTTTCAGCTGGAAACCAGCTCCACTTTTTGATGTCCTTTCTTCACAAGAATCACAGGCTTTGAAATATTGATTAAAACGCTGGGTCGCTGGGTCCACATAAGTCACATTGGAGCTCTTGGAAGATCAATCACATGGAAAGCAAAGACAGGAAAAGCAGCTCTAATGGCAACACTAAATGAGGCTTTAGGAAGACAAGCATTTTCTTTTAGGTTACTTCAGTTAAGCAGAAAAAGCATCGGAGAATGTGGTCAGAGAACAAATCTGTGGGTATCTATTTGACTTTTGGATTAAAAAAGCAATGCTTTCTCTAATCATGGCAAGAGATGTCAAAGAAAGAGAAGGCACAATCAATCTTTGTGCATTTCAGTAGGCTGTGCCACTGGCTGATTAAAGACCAAGCGTAACATTATAATGAACATCTTCCAGCTGAAATGTCATTGAATGTTGCTCTCTCCTGTATATTTATCATGTCATATCATATTTGTCACTTAGAACAATTCAAGCTTTCAATATTAAAGAGTTTGATCTCAGGATCAGGAAGAAGAACCTTTTAACTGGCACAAAAAAGCAGAACTGTTAAAAAGGTTGGATGGTTTTCATGTTTATAAATGTTTTTCCATGTCTTTCTTAATCTACTAACTCACGTCTGTCAGGTTTTACAATGTTTTTTGATACAAACAGTAAAATATCCTGCACCTCTGTATTTTTCATGTAATTTTTAGCTCAGTTGGAAAAAAAAACAAAACACAAAATTGAGTGCATTCTAGACGAAAGGAATATCTGACTTGAGCTGTGTGCAAGTGACCTGAAAGGAAAGAGTGGGTGCAGCTGGGATGAATGTCACCTTCAATAACGCACTCTCTCTCCGCCGAACACGCACATTCTGATCAGACGGAGAGAAAGAGCGTTGCGTCAGAGTCTAAACTTGGAGCTACAGGCCAAAGGTCGCAGTCAGCTATCGGGGAGCTGTAGACCAATAAATCAAAAAGATTTATCCCACTGACTGATCGTCTGCTTCATCTGACTGAGAAACAGGCTGATTGATCCCCTTTCTATTTAATTATAAAACCCTTTAAGTTTACTTTTCTCGGTTTTTATTTCATAAAAAATTGATTCCTTACAGCAAGATGCTAGAGGACTCTTGATGCTTCTGCCTCAAATCCCCCCTCATTAAAACAAATCCTCATACTGAACTATATATCCAGTGGCTCATTATCAGGAAACATGGCATTGCAGCTGTTTGACATCATGTTTGTTAAATTTTTAAGTAGTTAGCCGCAGGCATGATTATCATTAGCATAAATTAAGCGTGCCCCCATCCACTGTTTTCATTTGGCTCAGGCTAAAAGTGAGGAGAAATGTCCACTGCTCACTTGATTAAATGATTAGAAGCCTGCATTAGAATGTCTTCTACCAGAGTGCACCTAAATTAAATTCTGCTGTGGAGAAAAACTTTTAACTATGTCTGAGGGGACTGGCCACCATCCATTTAGGGGGCTCTTTCTCAGCAAAGTTAACACGAATGAAACTGAGAGTCTGCTGCATGTTGCTGCTTTAACGAGGCATCGGCCAAGCAGTGCTTCTTAACATTTCCTAATTATCCTTGAACCCAAAGTACAGATAAGACTGATGTCATTAATCACGAGCCTGTAAGAGTTTAGTTTTAACCTGATAATAGTGTCGTAAGAAATGACATCACAGTTCACCGTGACATGTGAATGACACAAATCACACTTTCACTGTACAAAACCCCAAAGTTACAGACGTTATATGCATGTTTCCATAAGAATTATCATAATACATATTTTAAGCCACCACCTCGTCAGGGTTAACGGCAATCTTCCCCCAACTCTTTTCAAAATCAGGATCTTTCACGGTTGCAGACAGTAATGTAATAACCCCTCCAACAGCCCACGTAAAGCATAAATCAATGTCGTGCAAGAACTTCCTATATCTGGAGACTGCCCAGAAGTGACCAATCAAATTGCACTGTGAGACTGGCAGCTGATTGGTCGAGCTGAGGATGTCGGTGCATGACAGATGGCTTTGTGTGTGCGTGTGGGCTGCTGCCGTGTGTACTTGTGTGTGTATACAGGATCTGTGTGTGCATAAATGTTGTGTGTAAAAGACAGGCTAACCTTTCGTCAGAGGAAATGTCACTGAAACAAAGTGACATACTGTATGTGCAGCTGGGCCTTGCATAAAAGGTGAGCATGTGTCCTCTCCTCCATTCTTCTTCTTTCCTGCCTCATTTTACATTCACACCATTATGGTCTATTTTAAACACAGCCTATGGTTCAGTAGCATTGTAATTGTATATCTCACTGCGGAAAGGCTCAGGGGTCCTGATGTCCTGTCTTCATTGAAGGTGTAGAGTTTATTTTAAATGTCTGAATCCTTCGTTGTCTTTTTTATTGTTTTATTTTTGTATATTAGAAAGATTCTCAGTCAGCTGTCACCTGTCGGTGTCCATATACTATATAAAGATCATTTTATTCTTGCTTTGGTCTGAATGTGTGCACTGAAAAATCAGAGCTGTGTCTGCTGAACTGAGTCCTGCTGCAAGCATTTTAAAATGCTGCAGCACGTCCTGAAACCGAGTGTTATAGTTTCAAAGTTTAGTTTATTTTATGGCTTTTTTCAACCTAATATAGTGACATTTAATGTTAGAATTCATTTTCTGCTGAAGGCTGTGGGAAGGGGAGTTGTATGGTTGTATATGTTACAAAGCCCTAAGGCAAATTTTGTGTTTTAGGCTGTACAAATGTTGGAATAATGTACGCTCAGGACCAGTTATGCAAATAGTTTTTTACTACCACCCCAGTAACTCCGGTGACCAGACGTTCATATATTTTAAAGTGAATCTCAACATAAGATCAGATTTTTTGTGTGAAAATGGAGAAAGTCAAAAGTATTTCTGATAATCTGAGAGATCTGTGAGTAACATTTAAACATTCAATTCAGTTTTATTTATATAGCTCCAGATCACAGTGAGAGTTGCCTCAAGGAGCTCTGTATTGTAACGCGGAGACAATAATATGAGAGAAAAACAGGAACAATCAGAGGATCATCTATGAGCAAACACTTGGCCACAGTGGGAAGGTAAAACTCCCTTTTAACAGAGGAAACCTCCATCATAAGCAGGCTCAGAGAGGGATGGGTGTTTGCCACAAGCCATTGGGGGAGAGGGGAGGAAGACAAATACACTGTGGAAGAGAACCAGAGGTTAATAATAACTCGTGATTAAATGCGGAGAATAAACACACGCACAATGAAAACAGGTGAGTGAAGAAGAAACACTCAGGGAGGGTTCAGGCTCACCCGATCTAGCCCTATATACTTTATCAGAAAGTGAAGTCTAATCTTAAAAGTAGAGATGACGTACCTTTTCTTTTGATGTTTTAAAGAAGAGGGGCCTGAAAGCTGAAGGCTCTGCCCCCTAGTCGACTTTAAAATATCTTAGGAACTACAAATAACCCAGCACCCTGACAGAAAAGTGTTTTATTGTAGTGATATGGCACTAAGAGGTCTAATTATTCAAGACCTGTATGTGAGGAGGATTTGATTCAGGATTTAACTGGGAACCAATGAAGAGAATCTAATATGTTAGAAATATACTCTTTTTGACCCACTCCCTTGGTGGTCTGGGGCGGCTTGGAGCTGTGGGGAGCTCTGCTGGGTACCAGACGGGTATTGGGCGCCTGGAGCCCTGGGGCCCTGATCTCAGTTCGTACTGGGGTGTTTGGCCTCTGGCAGGGTCAGCTGCCCATCGCCTCTGGTCTTCTGGGACTCCCGCAGATATCACTGAGATCTGTGGCCTTAGGTCTTCCGTAGTCTTGGGGGACTGCGGAAGATTCTGTTCTGTTCTCCATCTCTGTGTGCCTCCGGCTCCTGGGGGGAGTTGCTGCAGCTTTCCACCCTCATTTTCAAGTGCATTTCATGACAAAGACACACTCACAATCGACACTCTCGCTTTCTCTCTCACACTCGTACACACACACACACACACACACACACACACACACACACACACACACACACACACACACACACACCCCACAGGAAGATTGTTGATTTATGTACCTGTGCATTTTCGAATGTTTGTGCTGCAGGTGTTGTATGTTTGTTTTTCTTACAGATGCGGCAGTTGCCGATGCATTATGCATTTCTATTTGTATTACGCCTTCCACTACACACCCGCCCCCACCCTTTTTTTTCTCCCCTGACTCTCCTGCCTTAGACATTGTCATACTATATTCCACAAATAATGTAAAACTTGAAATGAAACAATTAGAAATGAAGAAATAAACAGATAAACTCTGTAAAAAGGGGATTATTTAAAAAAACAAACAACAATGTGCTCTCATTCTACTTCCTCAGCATCAACATACAGTGCATGCCTGTTAGGGAACATGACTGAGGCTGTTACATGTGCTGCTGTAATGTCAGTTAGATGGTAAGCTGTTCTCTCTTAGCTTTGTGCTGCAGAAGGTTAATGTCTGTTATCACAAGCATGCAGTTAATGTTGTGTGATGTTGTGTACCGCTAATCTACATGTGAATGGGGGTTTACTTTAATTTGGCTGTTTCGCCTATGACAGCAGTGTCACACAGCCGTTTTCACCTCTGGAAATAATATGCACATGTGCAGTAATTCTATATGAGTATTCATTGGAAAGTTAAACTGCAGTGCTCTTTGGACAAAAGGCTGCTGGCTATGCAAAATCTCTAACACAATGGGTGTGCGTTTCTTTTACAGACTGGTTACAGTAATTCATGTGTGCTTCCCCACTGGACAAATTCCTCAGAGGAATTCAAATGAATGTAATACTGAGAACAGGTCATTGATTTTAGGCACACGGGCACACAATTTAGGCAATAATCGGATTGCTGTACAAAAATAGCATTTACATGCTATGTAATGTTGAAAATGTCCACAGGTTAACACACACACTGTGCTATAATTGCAGTCTGTTAGGTGGCTACACGCTGCAGTAATTAAATGTGTGTCCCTTCCCTCGAGTAATTAGATTTCAAAGGTTCTCATGTACAAATAAACTGAGTGTAATTGATAACCTGTAACTGATTTAACAGAATTATATTTACATAGCTGCGACTTTCATAACTCTGCACATCCATCATTGTAACTTGGTGGCTGCAAAATTAGGCGGGATGTGTTTTTTATTGTATGTTATATTTTCTGCTTCTTGTTGCAGCAAATATCCACTAATTTAAAAAAGTACTTTATGTTTACAGCTTGTGATGTTCATGTACCTTGTCATGCCATTTAGAATACCTGACTTTCCTTTGACTTTATGGGAACATATCTAAATATCTCACTGTACAGTAGCTCCCATTACAACAGATCTATAGGCTGCATGTGGTCTACTAAAATCATTTTTTAAACACTTTTGTAGAGTTTCTTCTGATTTTTCCTACAAAGATCAAAATGAGTTCATGCTTATCATAAATATAATAGTGAGTGGTCAGTTTCTATACTTCCATAACCTATCATGACCACAGCTTAGCATTAAAAAAAATATGACTGCCTGTAAAATAGTTTATACAGAGGTTTATATAATTATACGTCTATAATAAGTGGTTGTCTTGCAGTAAATATCAAGTATCACAGCATCGTGCTACCATCATTGTCACAGGCAACATATTGTGTTTGATGATTACTGTACACAGTTTAAACCGGCTTCAGGTTTAATCTAATCGAATTATCGCTGTCACCAACAGAGCAGCTTAACTAAAGCTTTTGTGCTGTTGCAGCTAATCAGCGTCACCCTGAACACTTTAGTGAATTCACCTGCAATCCTTCTGCCCTGCTCGCAGTCCTGGTAGACAGCGCCTGTTAACTTATATTACAGTAATACTAATGCAGGCTGTCAGTTTTTAGCCTCCACCTAAAATTAAAGCACTCAAGTCTTTTCTTTTATCATCTTGATGTATCGTTAAAAAAGCACGAAGTGCTGTGTTTTTGTACAAATGTCAGGCTCTCTGTTGGCCTGTCTGTGTCTACCTCTCTGTCTAATTTTCTTCTGTTTCTCCTTCTCTGTCTCTGTTCTGTTTTATTGATGAAGGCAGTAGGGACTTTAGGGGATGTTGGTTATTTCAGCTCTACTTCCTTTGCACACACACACACACACACACACACACACACACACACACGCATACACGCATACACGCTGGCCTACTTTCCCAGGTCTTTTCCCTCTGGATGGGTTTGCATCTCTGTGGTCACAGAGACAGACTACTACACACACATACACAGTGACACTCACACAGACAGATGTGCACAACTTCAGACACATACGCGGTGCCATGTGCTCCAAGACAAGGTCATAAATTAGTAATTAAAAAAATAATTTGTTGTGTAGAAAAACAGTTCTCAGCTGTTTTTCATCTTGTATTTATTCCAGCATGTCTTTCTATCTGTTTAGAGAAAAGAAATCTAGTTTCAAACTTCAAAATGAAATGTATATGTCATCAACTAACCTGTCCTCCAGCAGAATGGCTTGTCGCGCTGAAGCTGAGCGTGTAACCGCATGCGTCATTTGTTTTCTGTCCCCCTGCAGGGCCTTGTTTGACTATGATGGAAGTGCTTCGGATCTGAGCGCGCCCAATCAGGCCCTGCCCTTTCATTTTGGGGATATCCTCCACGTGAGCAGCGCCAGCGAAGAGGAGTGGTGGCCCGCCCGTCACCTCAGCCCCCCGCCCCCAAACTGCCCGGAAGTCGGGGTCATCCCCAGCCGCCGGAGGTCAGAGTTCAAAGGGTTTCAGATGGGAGTGGGTGGATGGTTTTATTGATTTTTGTTTTATTAACTAAAGTAGAAGCGTTAAAGTCGAGTCCGCCCATTCCCTCAAATCTAGTTTTGAGTTGTTGCTATCACCTAAAAATGTTCACATTTGAATCTTTGTTCAATACAAATATTGAATGATAACTTTTACACTTATATTTTCTTTCTGTTCATCTGTTAGAAATCTGGATCTGACTCTTTTCAGAAGGCCTTAAAATGAAGTGTTATTAAGTTTTTCACACATACAGATTAAATCAAATGAAAACAGTCCAGACCAGAATGAGCGTCAGTGTGGTCTTCAGTCATTTCATTAGGATGAGGATTATTATAATACAAGTCTGTCCAGGCTTATTGTGATAGGCCACTATACAGCAGACCCTGGAGTCAACCATAAACCTTCACAAAATTAAATTAGAAAACTAAGAAGACTAATAAGAAAACAAACAAATGTGTTCGTCCACAGTGTTTGTTCACATTGGCACCTTTCCATGAGGAATATCAAGGTGGAAGACTGTGTATCTTCTTTTCATGATTTACTAAATGGGTTTTTCTTTTATTTGTTTGTTGTGGCTCAAAATAAAAAAGACAGAGAAAAAAATCTACTTAGTTTCAATGTGTCATCCCATTCTGACTTAATTTGACGCTGGATTTCAGCTCCGTGCTGTTTAAAATACAGACAGCTTGGCAGCTGTTTCCTGGGGACAGCATCCGTGGTCGGAGATTCATTTTCAAATTAGCTTCAGTCTTTACACCAGAGTGTCGTTTTTGTGTTGACTCATATCACTGCGAGCATCATCATTACGAAGAATCTGCTGAATGTAATCCTGTGGTGGAAATATATGCCAACTTTCCTTCCTTCTACCTTCTCCACTTGTTTCGCCCTGTGGACGAGGTGACAGACAGATGTTAGATTTCTGAGGTGCAAGGAGAGGACAATTTAAGACGAGTCGTTTTACCATCCGTGACACAGAGGGAGGCGATGACCAGGGGCAGAGGGATGTGGAAAGTGATGGGGTGTAAGGAAGGAAAGTGAAGGAGTGTTAGAGAGGAAAGAAGGGATTCAAGGTGGCAAGGAAGAGTAGGAGTGAGTGAAATGAGCAGATTGTCACATATGGGTTTGACAGAGAGGTATTAATAGACTGAGGTGTTAAAGCAGAGGCTTGAGCATTAGGGCTACGTAGATAACTGTGTTATAGTTTAAAAAAACGGCCTAGAAACAGAAGTAATAGAAATTCATATATTACAGGCTGTAGTTTGAAAATTGTTAAAGATGTTAGAATATGTCTGCCCGAGATTTAGATTTTACAATTTATCTGTCTGCAGGATATTAAAAATGATAAGCTGGATTATGCGCTATTAGCATTAGTGTTATGATGAAAGGTAATTATTAAAGTTCAGTCAGTCTTTTAATGTAAGCTGTGTTCAGCCTCTGATATAACTGTATTCAATCATCCCTCCTGCTGCTCTCCTCTCTTCTTTTCCATGGAGGTCTCTTTATTCTACTCCTCTTTAACTTCGACTCCTTTTCCTCTCGTCTGCTGCTTTTCTTCTTTTTTTAATCTTGCTTCTTCTCCTCTTTCTGCTCACCTGCTCTGGTTTTTTCCTCATGCCTTTTTCCGAGGACATTTTTTAGAGATAAAGTTAAGTGTAAGCATGCTCTTATAAAGATGTCAGCATTCAAAGAACAGGATAACCCAGAATATATCTTTAGTTATCATTGCGATGTTCTTTTTTATTCACTACGTTATTGCTGGTTTGTCAATGACAGTTGTCGAGCTGTTTACAGACATCAGGGGGCTAAAAGCTGTATTACATAAGACTTTTTACAAAGACACATCTGGCTTTTTTAAATTAAAAAAGAAAGCTAAGCAGCAGAGAAACAGGTCCCAGAGATTCAGCTTATTTGAAATTCTAGAGTTGGATGTGATCGCCAGCAGGAAATGGTCCTGCACAGGAAGTGACAAAGCTAAATTTAAACACAGGAGACAAAAATGTCCCCACAGCAGGAGCAAGTGAAACCTTCACAGGGAGGAAATGCCTTCTACACCCGAGTATGCTGGGGTGTTTCGATGCCGTCTCGGTCTTTTATTCCTTTGCACCTGTTTTAAGGTGATCACAGCCCATTTAGATTAATGGACACGACCATGCAATCAGCTCTTCGCTGTCAACTTACATAACATCTGGATAAGTGCACAAAATTCCCTCTGCTTCCTCTCAGTGCTATTTTAAACCCCCGTAATCTCATACTGATGCTTAAAGATATACAGTTTCAACATTCCAATAAAGTAAGCTGCAAAATTACTTTTCAGATGAAACAATATTTTGTGGCTTTGTTCGAATCATTCTTTCAGATCCATAACAACCTGAGACACTCGTTGTGACGTTAAATTCGTTTTACAGTTTCAGGGTGTTAATTGAGCTGATTCGCTGTTCATATTTTTTTCATCCGCTCTCTGCATGCCTCCTAACGTTTGCACCTGTCTTTTGCTTTATTCACAGGGCAGAAAAGAAGGAGAGGTCGAGGTTAAAGACAGTCAGAGTGAGCAGGTCTCAGGACAGATCAGTGAGTATGAATGTTTGTCATAAATCTTAAAACTCAAACCAGTTCTCAAACCAGTATACTTTAATTCAAGGTGTTGAACATAACAGTGAAATGTCAAAAGAAGTAAAAAGCAAAGCTTGAGCTCTTTACTGTTTTGAAAAAACATGACATTAAATGTCTTATTTTAATTTTTTTCTTACTTTGAGCAGTAAGGTGGATATTGTGTTGGTTTAAGAACTGTAGGTCAGATGAAACAAAGCAGTTGGTTGGTTGTTTTCTGACAGTTGGTAGATTGACAGCTGAAGGTAGACACCACCAAAATATGGTGGGGTTTTTTTGTTGTTTGTTTTTTAAATGACTAATTGAATCTGATTACAGAGAAGGCACAACGTCAGGCTGTACTTGTGTTAAATATTTTGTGCGCAGGGTAATTGCAGAGAAAGTACGGTTACGCTGTAACCTTGGTTCTCTGAGTGAGAGACTCTCTCCACATATTCCATATGTGGGGGGTCATACCCCGAACTTATGTAACGGAGTGGAGAGATAGTCTCCATATGACAGAGAATGCTTTTCTCTCTAAAGGCTTCAGCAACATTTGAAGCACAAAGAGCAACTTTATCATGCTGTTATAAGGTCACATGTGTGATCTTAAAATAGTACAGATGTGTAGAGTGTCAGTAAACATCTAAAAGCTATTTTGTGCTTCACTACAGGCAGGCTCAATCGAGAGGCACAACAGCTTGTTATTTCCTCCAGTCGCATCAAACATTTGCTTTTACTCTCACGAGACAACACCTATATCTAGTGGATATAACAATCACAATGATTTTCTGTTGGTAGTGTTGATAGAAGCAGCGTGATGCTATTTTGATGTGATAAAATCCACAAAGAAAGGAGGCTGGGTGTTAAAACAACAAAATTAAAGTCATCTGATTGCCTGCTGTGTTCGAACAACAATCTATGGTTTCTTCAAACCACAGCAATGTTAAACTTGGCATTTTTACCTAAAACCATGATTGTATCGCAAAACTACATGAGGGATTGCTATTCCTGAACTTCACCAAAACTCAATAAGGACTGTTATTGCTCATTTCCAGCTGATTCATTTTATTCCAGGACTTAAAGGAGATTTTCAGAATGCAAAGCAAAAAAAAAAAAAAGGCTCTAACTAAAGCTGCTTCAGGCTGAGGTCAGCTGTGTCACTATTTAAACCTTTGGTCATGATTAATGCAAACATCTAAAATTTCCAACAGTACACACCTATCGTAGCTATAACAGATAATAAGGGGAAGTGCAACAACAGCTGAAACTGATTGCTGGATTGATTAGTAAATGACAGAGACAATAAAGGTCGCTTTTCAGAGAGAGCTACAGGCAATCATGAGTGCTACTGCTGCTGATATCGATTTAGTTTAACCTTGTGCTATTTGATAGGTTGTCTGTTTATGAACAATGAACAATTTTTCTGGCATCTGGCATTACTTTAATAAAGTTTAAGTTCTTAATTGGCACTAGAATTAAAAACTCTATTCTTTATGGAGCCTTTAAATCGCATTTGATTTGTAGTTCAGTCAGTGACTGGGTTGGCTGCATTGCCCCTGTTAGTGACAGCCACACCACCTGTTAGCAGATAAAGAATTGCAGGGGAAAACCTTAATTCAAAGTCAAACTACAGAGAGAGTGGCAGCTTTCTCTCCGTTTTTTTAATTAGATATTTGTGACGTAGAAAAGTTTCAGTCTGAGTTCATAGGTGAGGCAACAATGTGACTTTATTCATACTTTACACAGTGTGATGCTGAGCACAGGTTTAACACATGCTATTGATATCACCGTGTTGTCAGCGCACACTCTCACTCTTCCTCTGTTTTCTTCACACTGTTTGAATCAGCAACGCTGCAATCAGCAGCTCCGTGTGGTGAAGAGATGATAATTAAAAATTGCGAAGCATGCAAACACACACACACACACACACACACACACACACACACACACACACACACTCCCTGCTGCACTAACACTGTAATTATTCTTGCTCTCTAAAACTTTGGGTATATGCGTTCGCAGTAGAGAGCTCAAAGCTTTCAAATAGGCTTCTGTTGATAATAGTCAAGATACTCCTGGAATAATTTTCAATATGATAATTAATTGTGTCTTTACCACCACCCCCTCCCACCCCCACCCCCCTCTCTCTGTCTCTCTCCGTCTCTCTTTGTCTTTGTAGGATCAGGATGATAAAGGTAGGTATTCTCTCTCTCAGCGACACCTGCTGGTCAGCACATATAATTCCACCTCTTCTCAAACCTGACCAGACCTAAACTCTGTTAAGTTTCCAGTTGGAGGAGAAGTAATAGGGTGCAATTAAATATAGAGTTCATTACACACCTAACATACAAAGTCTGGAGCAGTACTCCAAAAACCAGTTGTTCAGTACAAGTCTACCTTAAAGTAAGTCGTCCTTAAAATTTACTTTACAAAGTTAAAAAAAAGTGTCAACTTTGGAATAAGTTATGTTCAGCTAAATGTCCAAATGTGCATTTGCACAGAAGAGGTCTGGATTGTTTTACTTTTATGCATCACGAAGGCGCATTTAAATGTCCAGTATGAATATTTACAGCAAGTAAAAGCTATTAGAAAATTAATACTGGCATCTGAAATGTGGAACTTGCCCATATTTGATGGTTCTTGATAATAAAGGTTTGTGTTAATTTCCAAAAGCTACAACATTGATAATTTAGTTAGAGTCTATAAATAAGCACAGACAGGCTCCCTCAGAAAAAGTGCAAGACAACTTAAAATATGCATGGTAATCTCCTGAATTTTTTATTCAATTTAATTGCCCATTAAATTGCTCAATCTCTAAACTTTTCTAGCTTCGTCATGAGTTAGCTGTGAAACTATTGCACATCATTTTCTAACCCTCAAACGAGCAGAGCGAACTAAACGGGCTCATTGGAGTCTGTTATGCCTCCTTATAGTTTATAGGGGAATATTTTTTTTAAATAGCTCTCTTATCATGACAGATATTTGTAAGATTGTTGGGACTGCTTTTTTAATATTTTACGCTCTTTATCTTATAGTATGAAGCTATTTGAAGTGACTGTTGTTGTGAATTGGTGCTGTACACATTGAATTAGTAAGATAAAATAATCAGCGTTCTAATTCGGTCATGGTTTTCATTATTTTTTTATGCTAAAAAACGAAAATGTACAAACATAATTGAGATATTATTTGTGTTTTACTTATTACATTACAAAATGTCTTTGTTTCAGTAATGCTAGAAAAAAAACCTTTTTTTTCTTTTGTTACTTAAAACACAAATTGCAAAATCAAATCAAAAAAGCAAAATATTAAAAAATCACTAATTTACACAAATATATATAACACCATGTGTGTACTAGTCTGTGTTTAATTTGCAGATGTAAGGAAAGAAGTCAATTTATACGTAGATATAGATCCTGCCCAAAGGTGCCCTTACAATAGCCCCATTTAATCTGAGACATTGGAAAAACAGTTTAGAAATTGCCCTTTATTATATCAGAAAAAATGCAACTGGTGTACAGTTTGACTGAGTTCTCTGAGCATTGTTGTACTTTTCCTTGTGTATTAAGCAGTAGATGTTATAATTGAGATATTACAGCGAAACACACATATAGAAACTGAATGGATGGAATTCTGTTTTGAAAAGTGAAACCACGACAGTGAATGCAAGTTTGTACATGTGTTTACATATGTGTGTGTGTGTTGTATGTGTGTTCATATATATATGTGTGTGTGTGTGTGTGTGTTGACTCTGACCTGTCTTGTCCTTCCAGAGCTGGTAACCTCTGGCACCAGTGATAATGAGAGTAGTTCCTGTAAGTCTAGCCCCTCCTCTGTCCCCTCTCTCTGTCTCTCTCCTAAATGCACTTTTCTTCTTCACTCTGTTCTTGATCTTTTAAACTTTGCCTCTCAGTTCATCACCTGCTTGATGTAGCTGCTGGGCTGTAGGTTTTCCTCTGTGTGTGCTTGTGGGTGTGTCACGCGTAATTGTGTGCTATGGTTTACTTTAGTTTTACGTGCATGTCTTTGTGTGTACAGTTTACATTTCTCTGCTTCTGCAGCCTGCTTTTCCAGAGCTGTTGAAGAACTCTTTTTCCAAAAGTAGAAATCAGGGCGTGATATGTTGTCAAGTGTTGGTCCTTTTAATGTGTCCTTCATTTGTGTTTGTTTAAACAGCCGGTCAGGAGGAGATCCTTCTCACCTACCAGCCTGTCATGCAGCATGAAGGTCAGTGGCTTCCCTTTCCTCCTCGGTTTGTTGTTGTTTTTCATGTGTGTTAGCTTAGCTTATGTAGGTAAATTAAAGTGCTTCTCTACTCAAAACTGTGTTTCAATCTTTATCATTTCTCATTGGAAAGAATTTGTCATTTTGACAGGGAAATTGTGTTGAAAGTGCTCGCTGTGTTTGTTTAGTGTTTACCTGCAAACAGCATTTTTGAAGCGAATCCGAGGCCGTTGCAAAAAAATCTAAAACTTCAAACCATTTAAATCAGTTGATGTAGCTTTAAGAATCAACACATCTTAGACAATGTATTACTAAAGCAGAGTACTTTGTAACATCTTTAAACATGCCTGGGGGAAGTAATTAATTGAGTTTGTAAGAATTCATTATTTTAGAAAAAAAACAGTCGACCGGTAGTTGGAAAACCTTTCTGTAGCTTGCTTAAATCCCACTGAAGCAGCGGTGGGTCAGTCATTACAAACTTCCTAGCTGTATTAAATAAATCATCTGGAGCAAGCTGCATTAAAATTTTTATAGATTTCAGGGTCCTCTTGATGCACGCTTTCCAGTGTTTTTTTTTCTTTTGAGTGAGGTGACTTAAGGTAAAAATGACTGATTTCAGACAGGCAGCGTTAAAAGGCTGGTATAAGTTTTTTAAAACTGTGAATCCTTCAAAGACACTCCAGAGGAGTGGATTTTACACGCTGACGGAACCTGTTTTTTTTTTTGTTTTTTTTGTCAATTCTCAGTTAATTACACACGGCCAGTCATCGTGCTTGGACCAATGAAAGATCGGGTTAACGATGACCTCATCTCCGAGTTCCCTGACAAGTTTGGCTCCTGCGTCCCACGTGAGTGCCTTTAGTTCATTATAAATCCCAGTAGAAACCTGCAACAGTTACTGGAGCTTTGCAAACCTTATGACCTTGAGGCAATAAATCAAAATCGCAAAGTCATGCCTAATTTTAATACATTTTTTATGAGCTCAGTGAAGGGTCACGTTTGCCTCATTTAGTTTTTTAGATTAGAAAAAAACTGACAAACATTTTTATGAGACTCCCAAACCCCCAAAAAATGGATGTCCTACCCTGAAGACAGATGAGTCCCTAATGCGACATAATGTTGTGTTTTTGCTTTTTAATCTTAATGTTTTAGGCTAATATGTGCACTAAGGTGCTCATGAGCAGGATACTGCACACTAAGATATTTTATTTCTTTGCCTGAGTCTGTGTAAATTCTGATCTTTAGACACAACACGGCCACGGAGAGACTACGAGGTGGATGGCAGAGATTACCACTTCATGTCCTCCAGAGAGCTCATGGAGCGAGAGATTCAGGAGCACAAGTTCATCGAGGCTGGACAGTATAACAACCATCTGTATGGAACCAGCATACAGTCTGTCAAAGAGGTCGCTGACAAGGTGAGATAGAGACACGATCAATGGGAAAAAGAGAGCGAGGGTATGGGAAGAAAGAATGTCTGACTCCGTGTCTCTCCCACAGGGCAAGCACTGCATACTGGATGTATCAGGGAACGCGATAAAGCGTCTCCAGATGGCAGGCCTCCATCCCATCGCTATCCTCATTAGACCACTCAGTGTCGACAACATTTTGTAAGTGACACAACATAACTGTTCAAAGACAATCTGAGCATCTGTCTTGCACTGTTTTATCATCTGTTCTTTGAAAGCTCAAGTAATCAAATGGAAATGTTAAAAATATGATAAGTATTTAAGTAGCATCTTATAAGCATCTTATAAGTAAAAACTATCAGCAACATAAACAAAGCCAGTAACATTGTATAACTTCTCTAAATAAGTGCCACAAAAATGTTCTAAGAGACGGTTCAAGGTTGACATGACAAATATTAATTCTCAAAAGTTCTGCTTTTATGTCATACTGATGAAATACCTCTCATGAAGGTACTTTTTTCTCTTTTTCCATTAAAAAATGTGTAGCTGCATTTATTAGGGAAAAAACTCAGTGAACTTCATTTTTACCCCTGAGCCGTAGTGAGTTTACTGGACGGCTGATGGGTACTGCTGCCGGTTGACAGCATTTTTATACAATATGCAATAAGTCAAACGCCTCTACAGTGAGAATGTTGCCTATATTATTTTAAATGAGGGCTAAACTTCACTCATTTAAATAAATGTGAAGCCCAGCTTCTTTTTTGCTTATATGTTCCTTTACTTTTGTTCACTCATCACTTTCCGTTTTCTAAAAGTCACTGAGTCATCTTAACACTGCTGAACTTTACGAAAATATCAGTAGGGCTATTTTTGCATAGGGTCTAATGGGGGTTTTATTTTTTACAGAAAAATAACTGTAGTCTCTTTCTGCAGAGAGATGAATAAGCGTCTCAGTGAGGAGCAGGCAAGGAAGGCCTACGACAGAGCTGTGAAACTGGAGCAGGAGTTCACAGAGTACTTCACTGGTGAGTCACCTAAACAAAACAGATACCTTTAAATCTCCCCCCTCAAGGTTGTCTCCATGTGCACATCTGGACTGCCTCCAGAGTCACTGCTACTACTAAATCACTGCAGAAATATTTTGCCCTAATAATATCAGGATATTGTGAGTGTATGATAAATACTGTACAGTAAAGTCTCACCTGTGGCGGTTATACACTTTGAAAAGAAAACTGTACACATGAGCTGTATAACTTTGGAAAGTAGGGTAAAAATAACATTTTCCATATCTGCTCAACTTTTTTTGATCAAAGATTAGTATGCTTTGAGGTGTAAGTGAAAATGTGATCAAGTTTATTTTTGTGTTTGAGGAGAATCTGTGGAGGAGGCAGCTTGGAGAAACTGTTAAACATGCAGCAGGGGCAAGCTGTGAACCACACTGGCATATTGTCACCTTTAATGCTGATAAAGTTGTTGGCAAGCTGTGATTTATTCACTTATTTACACACGTCGAGTAGTTTTAAAGCTAAGCTATTATACATGTGGGATTGTGTTTTTGGTCCATAAAATCTCATTTAGCTCAGGTTTTGATCTTTACCAACACCTGAAGAGAATATTTGGCCATCCATCCATCTACAGTAACTATTTTCTTCCTGTGTGTCACATTATTTGATTTAAACACATCTTTTAATCTTTAATATTTTTCTCTCTCTCTCTTGCAGCAATCGTCCAGGGCTCAACTCTAGAGGAAGTGTATTCGCAGGTGAAGCAAATCATCGAGGAGCAGTCTGGTCCTTACATCTGGGTTCCCACCAAGGAGCGACTCTGAATAAATACCCATATACAACATACTCACACACACACACACACACACAAACATCAGCCTCTCTGCACACTTCCTTCTTGTCTAATTTTCTATTATCAGCCTGCTTCCTTGCTCTCTTTTTCTTATGCACGCACATCACTACATGCATTGACACATTTACATAAGCACATTCAGTGGGACGAGGCTGGGACTATCTGGGACTGCTGCTTCCTGAAGTGGGAGGAGCTCATGTCTGTCCAGCAGCCTATTGGTGGATCTTCCTACAGCTCAGTTCCTTAATGTTTAAGGAGGTGGTTTAAATCAAGGCGACATGTACCATTATCTGATTTGATTTCATTATTGTTCTTCTTATTGTTGTTGTCGTTGTTGTTTTCATATTAACGAAGGGTAATGCATTCATGTATGGGTTTGTAATGATTATATTGTCACCAAGAGGCAGATTTTTGCACGCTGTAGCTTTAAGAGCATGTTTTTGGGACAAAATCTTGATCTCCTTCCCTCTCTGTCTGTCTCTCCTCATAGCATCACTCTTGTTTACAGTTTCTTATTCATGTTTTTTCTCAATCCTCAATCCTTTCATTCCCTTTCTTCCTTTGACTATCCACAGACTTTAGATATGAGGTGAAAATCATTATAAAATTTTCAATACGCCGCAGAATTTTGGCATCAAAACAAATACTGTTTAGAGATGTAGCAAGAATATATTAATCATTTAATCTGTAAGCAATGTGTGACATAATAATAATTATATTAAGAAGCAGCAGTTCTCGATCCGATAACAAACGAAGATTAAATTCAAATAAATAAAGTGCAAAGCCCTCTATCAGTAGTTTGCTATTAAAAGGTCAAAAACAAACTGCCTCATATTGATGATGGAGTACGTTTGGAGCTCTGGGCCTGCATTCATCACATTTCTGAGAAATATTTTTAATATAACTCACCGTTCTCCATGGTGAGCAGAGACAAGGTCATATTTATCAGGCAGCTCACTGCGATTTACAGCCAAAGAGAAAACACGATAGAGCAGCTCATAAGGCCATCGAACGATCAATCACCAATCAGAGTCAAGTCATCTGCACTGTTGCTCGTTACTTTTTACAAATTCTTATCTTCAATAGAAATGTATCGTCTAATTTACAAAATACATAAATACTTTGTCTGGAATACAAAGTACAGATGAAGGGAAAATGGTAAAAATCTTTAAAATGTTAAAATCAGATACAAATAACAGATTATTGTACAAGCTGTAGTTTGTGTAAACACTCCAAAACAACAACATTTAAGTCAGAATAAAACCATAAACTGCTCCAGTTTGTTAGGAGAAATCAAATAAAACTGAATTTAGACATTTTTCTTATTACTTAAGTTCTAAAATTGTACTCGACAGCTCGACAAACAGTGGCCCAGATTCGAGATCGAGTCTGTTTCGTAGAAGCTTTCATCTCAAAGAGGCTTCTCTGCCTTTTCCTTCCACCTCCGCTTCCTTCTCTCTGTCTCATGCCTTCGTGTCTCCTCCTCTGCGCAGTGTGACGTTAGTTACGCACGCCAGCATTAAACAGTGTATCTTCTGCTTCATCATCACTATCATCACGATCGTAATCATCATTGTTACGGCTTTCCTTCTTACCGTAGTTGCACTAATGAGGGCTGGTTTCTTAAAAGCATCTTTACCCTCCCAGTGTTTCCGGTCTGCGCACGTGATGCACGACAGACTCGCTTTTCCCTCAGCGATGATTGAGCTGCTTTGAGACGAAGCTGGTCGACGCGGTTTTTTTGGTAAAGGTTAAAAAACACGTCATACTGTCGTTGATGAGTATTTTAGGGGTATCGAGTGTACTCTTCTGGAGAAACTTGCTGTTTGGATTAACCATTTAACTGTAATCCACTTTTCCCCCCGCTGGATTTATAAGTTTAAGCATTGACCCCCCTTTTAAGTTTAAGCCTTTATGTGTGACCTCCGCACTCCATCCATAATTATCCAAGGGTTATATCTTGGAGCCTGTTTTCATTATTTCACAAATGTCTACTTTATGCATTGAAGGATGAAATGTTTGGCTTTTCATTCATTTAGGAGGCCACACAGCACGAGAAGCAAACCTAACCCTGTTAAGCCTGAGCCATTCCTTTCCTTCTGACAAATGAAAAAAGAAGAAAAAAAGAAATGAATTATCAATACACGAGTTTCAATCTGTATAATTTTTGCTTTATCTGACATTTTTTAGGTTGATGATATTTAAAGAAGTTTAAAAAAACTCACAACTCATGTGTTATATATGATACAGTTGGCGTTATGGGGTTAAAGCTACTCAGTGGAGTCTGTGACCACATTAACAGCACATGTAACCTAACAATGGCGACTCTGTTGGTCATGTGAAGCTTGCTTAGTGCATCTGTTACCTGTAGTAGTCTTTTCAGAGGCTTTGCTGCTTGTCGCCAAGGCTCAGCTTAACAACACGTGACTAAACTCTACTTGTACTGAAAACGAAAACGAAAACAACAACAAAAAAAATCATAGCAGTGTTGTTGAGTATATCTGTTTTTTAGCATTGCATCTGCTTTATCGCAAGGGCCATTTAATGCATTCTACTCAGTGGCCTGAAAGGTGCTGTGGAGCAATATTATTTTCACTTTCTTGCAATCCAGGTTGCACCTGTAAAGTTTGTCGCATGACTGCAAAAAATTATTTAAACTCTATCCGCCTCATAGATATTTTGTTATTCGGATTAGAGCGTACATTCTTGAGAGCCCTTTGCTACGTAATTGGCGTTGGTGTAATATTTCCAGTTTCTCCAGGGAGCAACATCGCGAGTGCTGAGGTCATGAACGACACTCACCGGAAACACGATGTAACATAATCTCTTGTTTTCCAAACGTAACATTCGAGATCCCAAGATGCTTTTGGCGACGCAGCCCCCACCTGTATGGACCTTGTCAGCCACCCGCTCCCCATCTCCATCCTCCAACCCCGAGGCGACTTCTCCAAGCTGACTGGAGACTGGAGACGTATAGAAAGACTGTTCTGTCAACAGAGTAGCTTTTTATTTCAAATAACAGCCAGTTTTTGACCGCATGTGTTTTAAAAGGCTTTAAATGTTTCTCCACAGAATGTTCAGATAGGCCAAATCTGTAATCCTCACTGATTCAGGTCGATCAGTACTGTGTTTGTGTGTTGACAGAACTGGGCTGTCTGTATGACTCTGGCTGTGTGTTTTTAGCCAGGGCACCATGCCACTGTATGTTAGAGTAAAGCACCGATGCAAAGAATCTATTACAGAGATGGAACTATATCTAACATATAATATTTATCCCTGCTCTAACTGCCTATTTTGGTACAAAAAAACATAAATAAAAGTCTTTATTGAGATTTGCTGAAATCCTTTTACCTTTAACCTTCTTTTCTTTTTTTTGCATTGTGGAATGTGTATGAATGTGAATATTCTCTTAAAACTGTAATCTAATATAAGTTCCTTTACTCTCACCTCTACTACGAGTTTGTAGTGCTCTCTCTGGATGTCTGATTTGACTCTTCAAGCAGCACAATTGGAAAAAAGTATCATTAGTTCAGGAAAAAAGGGTGCAGATTATATATTGATTATAAATAGGGTCTTGAATGGGTGCAAATATTAATTGTGTTGACAGGTGTTATTAAGAGGGTTTTTTTTTTACCGTACTTATGCTCAAAAAAAGGGACGCAGACGGAAATTTCTAAACTCACACTGTCACCGTTTTCTTGAAGATAATGCTGAACAACAGAGACACACTTATCCAAACACTAGGATTTGTTTTTCAGATGTTTAATATTCAGGTATATTCTATTAATACACATGGTTTGAAAAGCATACCATGAAATGATCAGGCAAAGTCCATTTCTGTCCCTGCAGTACAATCTACACAGATGTCCATTCATCCATCCATGGATTAATTTAGAATCATTTACAAACGTAAAGTGCACCACTGTGCTGCTCACATATGGAACCTCTATGGCTAACTAGTAGAACTCATAGCACTAGGCGCTCACAGTAATGTGTATGGATACCATTTCGAGGACCAAAAGAGGTACCTACAGGTATGTGGTTTACAATTCAGAAGAGAAGACAGAAAGAGGGGACACAAAGGCAGACAAAGTAAAGAAAGAGTAGAGTAGAAAAAAACTTTGGTTTCTTTTTTCCTGAGTGGACCTCAGCAGGTTGTTCCTGGATCAACATTAGCATGCTGATCCAGGAACAACAACAACACGCGAATATCAGATAGACCTCGGATAGACGATGTGTGTGTACCCATAATTTAGAATTTGGTAGTTTCTATGTAGCAATATCCATATTTTAAACACGGCATAAAGTCATGCTATGACTGTCAGACTCAAACTGTCCAAACAATAGTCTTCATATACAATTCATGCAGCTATTTAGTTCCTTCCACTTATCAAACTCTGCCCTGCAACTTAAGAAAACACTAGCACATAAAATACAGCAAAATTTAAATAAAATGCAATGGGAGCTGGTTTTTGTTTTTTGCCTGCCCTCAAAAACTTTCATTGTGTTTATGAGCTTTTTTAAAGCTTTTGCAACTGTTTTCTTAAGTTGCAGCATGTTTGACCAATCAGGCCCACCATACTAGCCCACCTGTCATAGAGTATACCCTATGACAGGCTGTTGGTCTAAGACAGAGGGACAAATGAACTTTCACACTCATTTTCACTCATTGTAATCACCAGGTAACCCAACTTGCCTTTCTTTTGACTCTTGGACGAAGTTGGAGTGCCCAAGAAAAACCTATGCAGGCTCAAATAATGCTTTGTTCATATAATTACATAATGATAACCATAATAATAACATGAGTAATCATCTTTCAAATTTACGTCTTTTCTAATCAATGAACAAGAAAATAAAACACGTTTACCACGTAGTTATTACTGAAATGTTTGTTTTGGGGGGTTTGCCTTCCTGAGAACAAACTTTCAAAAGGGAGGTTTTCTTTCCAAGTGCTTGCTCATAGGAGGTCAGTTGATTGTTGGGGTTTTCTTTGTATTGTTGTAAGGTTTATACCTTACAATATACAGTAAAGTGTGTTGAGGTGACACTGTTGTGATTAGATGCTATATAAATAAAACAGAGTTGAAGACCTTTTTGCAGATTCAGTTTACCCATTGGTTAAATAAAAAAACTGTAGCTACAAAACAAGACAACACAACAACAAAAATAAAGAGGCAGGTGAGATCCACCCAGGGTCTGGTCTGGTCCTCTCTCTCTCTCCTGCAGTCCAGGGTTGTTGTTTTTTTATTATCATAATCTGATATTAAAGATTTTAATGATTTTTTGTGTGTAATTAGTATCAAATCATACATTTCAGATATTAACTAAAGGAAAAAAAGTAATCCCAGCCATACAGAGGACTACAAAATAATACAAGTGACTGAAAAACTTATTTTATGTTCATTCGACTTAGGCGCTCTGATGTCTGTACTTATCTCCACAGATATAATTCGTCACCAGGTCCAAGGTTCACACTTTCATAGTTCTTGAGTTCATCGAGTCCTGGAGTTCAGCTTGTCATTATCGAGAAGTTCGAAGCAAATATCCTGCAATAAAATACCCAGGGTCACTGGATATAAACTATTCCCATATCAGTCTTGGCAGGCCTAGGGCCTTCTGTGCAAGTTAAACTGTCATATGATAATTATATGTTTAGGTACAGTATATTGCCTGTGCATGACACTGGCCCTGGTTCATGTGACCAATGAGAAAAGCCTAGAAGTGCTCAGGACAGTCATGCAGAGGCAGTTCAACATTTTTATGCAAAGAACACTGTTTTGTCCTGCATTGTAAAATGCAGGTTAAAAGCTTCATATTCAATGAAAGGCAGATTCTCATGTCTGCTGACAAAAAACACTGACTGAAAATGGCACTGACACCTCGGTGTGACTGTCACCTCCGTGTCATCCTCATGCTGTCACAGCGTAAAAAATGAGCAAGCTCACACCCGGACAGTTTCGCCACAGTGAGGTCTTTCTGCTGATGAAGTTTTATTATCATCATCTCCTGTCCCGTGCCTGGAAATGATCGTTGTTAGGCATCTGAACATTTTGTCAACAATGAGAGCAATTACACATTTTATGATAAGGTCGACTTCCTGAGTTTTGGCAAAAGGCTGCAGATTTATAATTTGTTTTACGACCACAATAATGCATCCTCATGTGCTGCAGCATCCACTCAGCAGATGTTTGGCACTGCAGCATTGTAAAGAAAGAAAGAAAGAAAGAAAGAAAGAAAGAAAGAAAGAAAGAAAGAAAGAAAGAAAGAAAGAAAGAAAGAAAGAAAGAAAGAAAGAAACATAAAGAAGGATTCAAACCTCTTTGAACTTTCTATTATTATCTCTGGATGTCAAACATAAGGCCCGGAGGCCAGAATTGGTCCAGCAAAGATGCCAATCCAGCCCACTGGACAACACTGGAAAATGTGAAACAGGGCATAAATATTGAACTTTTAAATATATTTTCAGACTTTTTGTATATGTGGATATCTACAATAGAAATTTAGACATTTTTTTCCTTTTTGTGGACCCACAGTGAAAAAAATAGGACACTTTCTGTGAATTAACAAAAACATTCTGTTTTATAGAAGGGCTTTTTTCCCTCTATTTTTTTCCACATTTCTTCCTTGTAATTGAAGTTGTGCTGACTGGTTTCTTCCATGTACTATAGCAAATTTTCTTTATCATGTATAAAAATTGAGACACACTGTTGAAATTGCATTTTGTTGTTGTATATTAAGATATCTCACTAATTAAATATTTTGTTATTTTGTTTTTTACAATGACAGAAAGGGGAGTTTCACTCCCACTTAAGATCAAAGTGGGCTGTATGTGGCCCACAATGTAAAATGAGAGTACAGTAACTCTCCTGAGACCTGTACAGTGAAACAGCCCCATACGGGACAAAGTTCATCCCTGTATATTATGCCTACAGGGAGTGCAGAATTATTAGGCAAGTTGTATTTTTGAGGAATAATGTTATTATTGAACAACAACCATGTTCTCAATGAACCCAAAAAACTCATTAATATCAAAGCTGAATGTTTTTGGAAGTAGTTTTTAGTTTTAGCT